CAAGTTTGAATTAAGGTAACATTACCATTAGTAAAGTCATGAATTTTACCTGGGCAAAATCCACAGGTATTGCGGCATTGTTGTCTCATCACGTTCAGGTAAAGCGGATCATAGCAGTACAATTTCGCAGTCGCACAAGTTTGTAGAACATCCTTACAATCACCTAAATTTGTTTTGCTAAGACTTTTTCAGGGGAGGAGCGACAAAAGGTAATTGAAGTTTGGCGTAAAAAGCAAAAATAAAGCTCGAAAAACTGTGTAATTTACAGTGCCCACAAGTCTTTCTGCAATTCTTTTTCATAAATTCATAAAAAAGTGCATGTTCACAGTACCGGGTGCTCCTCGAGTACTCGCAGTCTCAGTTGATTCACTAGTTTTTCTGGCCATATCTCGTGCTGCGCGAGATGTTGCTGCAAGTTAACAGAAAGATGAGTTAAGGGTTATTTTAAATTATCGTGAATTGAGAGATTCGTATTTATAGTGCAGTTTGTGCCGACTGGGAGAAGAAATAGAATACTGTCAATCGCAGTACCGCGCAGGGGACCGCTTTCAGAAAAATGCTTACATGTTAAAAATGCTAGCAAGAGGAGCAGGATTGAAGCAGTTGTTCTCATATCCGTTTTGGAAGTCAGTGTTGGTTGTTTCCGTACAGAATCTCTTTTATGAGCATTCTGGTAAGAGATGCAAAACAGTAAAGTTTGCCGAAGAAGTTTTGTGCATACAAAGTCTTGTTTGAGATGTATTTTAGGCTTGTTCTATTCTTGTATGGTCATCTGCAGTTCTCTTTTTTACTCAATTTTTATTTTTGGCCATCTGTTTTATGTCCACATTTATCTAGTAGTATGGAAAAATTTTTGATATTTTAAGTGTTTTTCAGGTTATTGTCAAGACACTACCAGGGCGCTCAATGTCCAATTTGTTTTGCAGCGTTTATTCATGGCTCGCCATTTTCGTGCTTTTATTTATCAAACACATGGTTACGATACAGTGTATAAGTTAACCTCTAAAAATTGGTGATTCTCCAAAAGGCAGTCGTCTGTTACGGCATGCAGAGGAGCAGTGAGAGGTAATAAGAAGTAGCCATGTTTCACTTTTTATGAAAGACTGTTTTGATTAAACATATATAAATGTTATTTAGTTTTTTTTTTGAAGGGGGAGGGAGGAGGTTCTTGAGGGAGAATTTCTTTAAGCTAGTGATAAATTTAGATGATGCTTCAGATTTAAGTCATTTGGTTGATAGGTATTCGTTGGCAAATGTTTTCTGATTGAAGCCTCTTGCTCTTGCTCATTTGTTTTGAAAAGGATTGAAAGCGGTTTCTGAAAAGGGTTTAATTTTCTTCTTTGTTGGCTGCTAGACCAATAAGTTTAAGTAAAAGAAAAAATTGTTTAGGCAATTGTTTCTGTGCGGATGCTCTGTTTTCTTTGCCAAAGAAAGATTCAGATGTTCATAAAGCTTGTTCTGTTCAGCTCTGTTAGACAAATGAATTCTTCTTCTAGCATTTTGATCAGTAGTTTCTTCTCCTTTTTATTGGCCTGTTTCCTATGCTTTCATTTACGCGTATTTTTCAAGGTAATGCACTTAGATGATATTTTACTTAAGTAAGCGCAAGTTCGCAATTAACCCTGAAAAACAAGATGAGAAGCTCAAAGTTTCTTCTAGTTTCTTGCCTCGGCGTGAAAACGTTGCCATGCTCTTGTTTTTGTCTCAAAGCAATGCTGCCATCGTTGTATTCTGTGAAACCGACACTGTCGCCTCAAGCTTTCTACGAATAAAGCGTCGAAACCAAATAAAGCGTCTACTCCGTTTTAAGCTAAACAGTAATTTTTGCCATGTTTATTAGTGTAAAATTCACCGTTAAAAACAGTCAAGAAGCTTACTGCTTTTCTTGCAATTACATTAAGTTATTTTTTTGGAATTTTTTGCTGCCTGTAGAGGCCTTCTGTGGGGTGTCTTTCTTAATGAATATCGCACCGGTCTTTTGGGTTTAAGATTGGGGGTTTGTTGCTCGCAGCGGTAGTGAACTCCTTTACAAGTTGTTCTGTAAAGGGCATATTTAAAGTAGAGTTTTTTTTTTGACTTGTTTGAGCAAGTTTTTAATCTCATTGTTCAAATAAGGGTAAAGCGCTTGTCTAGTAAACTGGGAGTGTATTGAGTTGGGTTTTATTTTTTCTCAAGTTTTTCATGTGTAGAGCATCATTTTGTAGGAGGAACTTGACAAGTGTATAAATAAGACGTTTAGTATTTTGAAAAGCTTTTCTGGCGAGGAGGTATAGTTTAGCGTCTTCCAGATACCAGGCAGTGCCGTCTTCCAGATATCAGGTAGTGAAGAAGATTGGAACATATGCGAGCAAAGGCTGTATGGTTTTTTGCCAAACTAGTTTGTAGCTTGAGCATTGCTGTCGCTTACGGACCGTCCTGTTCTGCTGTGTTGATCTATTTTTTGTCTTTTTGCATATAAAATTGGAAATCATTTTACAAAAAAACACTTTCAATCGGAGCTTGTCTGGCTCAAACAACAATGAGTTAAAGTCTTTAAATATAAAAAATTTTTCTCGTTTTATTTTTTACCTCAACGTTTGAAAGTATTTGGCGGTTGTAAAATTTGTTGAGTATTTGAGGCAGTAATATTCTAATATGCTATGGTTCACTCACGTGAGTTTAAACTCCTCGGTTTTTAAGTTTCTGTCAGATTGTATTACTGTGAAGGAGTGGGCAGTTTTTAGAAGTCTCTATTACCCTGTGAATTGCACTCGTTACAAATTTGATTGCTGTCTACATTGCTGAAGAGTGCCGCTATACAAAAACGGTACCAATGGGATTAAAGAAAGTGGTATTGAGACCAATTTCTCCGAAGATTCTGGTAAACAAAAAGAACACACTGATCGTTTTGCCATTTCGCTAGTGTCAGAGAAGGACACCACTTTATTCTATAAAAATAATAAGGATGGACTCCCATTTAGACTGGTGTCCCCATCATGCTGATA